GGGGCATCCGGTCCTAGAGGATACGGGGGTGGTATCGTGTTCACCACCCCAGAAGGGTTCAAGATCTACCATGCAATCGTCTTCAACTTCAAACTGACGAACAATGAGGCAGAATATGAAGCTCTGGCTGGAGGGCTCAGACTTGCCCAAGCCCTGAAAATCAGCCGGGTCAGTATCAAATCTGACTCTAGCCTGATCGTTGGGCAAGTGACCGGTAACATGGAAGCAAGGGAAGGACGCATGGCACAATACAAGGACCTTGTACTTGCCCCGTTGAAGGGCTTCGAAGAGTTCAAAATCGCCCAAATTCCCCGGGCGGAAAACGCGGATGCAGACCTTCTCTCCAGATTGACGCAGTATGCTCCCGAGCATGTTTCAAAACTTGCCCGGGTAGAGATCCTTGACCGTGCAAGCATCGAAAAATTGGAAGTCGCGCTATAACGGCCGGAAGCCAATTTGACCGGTCAAACTTGGTCGGGGCGGACGACCATTGGATGTATGATCTGATGGAATATTTGATGGATGGGAGCTTGCCAGAACAAGATGACCGGGCGAGAAAAGTGAAGCTCAGGGCACCCCGATTCCAGGTTCTTGATGGAAAGCTGTATAAAAGGGCATTTGGGGGGCCACTCCTGAGATGTCTAACCAATAGGGAGGCTGAACGAGTCATAGCGGAAGTCCACGAAGGCGTATGCGCGGCGCATCAAATGTCCCGTACGCTTTCCCAACGCATCATCTTGTTGGGGTATTACTGGCCAACAATTGTCCAGGATTGTGAAAGGAGGGCTCACGGGGAAACTCCATTCTCCCTAACCTATGGGTGTGAAGCAAGGCTGCCCATCGAAGCTGAATTCCCAACGTTTCGGGAATCAAATTATCAACCCCAACAAAATGAAGAAGATCACTTGGCCGAACTCAACTTGGTCGAAGAGCGGAGGATGGCCGCGGAAGTTAAAATGAGTACGTACCAACAAGTTGTGAAGAAGTACCATGACAACAAGGTTGGGCCGCGGTACTTCCAAGTTGGGGATGAAGTCCTACGAAGAAGAGAAGCAAGTAGACCCGGCGATGGAGGAAAGCTGGCAAAAAACTAGGAAGGCCCATACAGGGTTAGAGCCATCATTCGACCAGGAACGTATCGATTAGAAACTTTAGATGGTGTACCGGTAGAAAGAACTTGGAATTCCCACCATCTTCGCAAGTTCCACAAATGATTGTAATACTACGCGAGGCCTAATCACATTATCAATCAAAGTGATGTTCAATACTCTACTTGGTAGCGGCAGAATTGATAGGTCGAACCTATCCTAGGAGGGCTTCCTGGGTGGATCGAATGCACTTGGATAAGCCAACTGAGACACAGGCCTGAACCTGGCACGCTGGTTACTACACCGGTCTTGCTCAGTATAATAGAAAAAATATTAAAACCCGGAAGATGGGCCCAGAAGAGGGTATGCCTGCAAGAGGGCTGGATTTGGAAGAAGGTTCGAACCGTACTTACACGGGCCCATGAGGTTTGACTGGTGTCAGGGAATCAGCCGGCGCCGTCAAATTGATTGGGGACTAAAAGATGCCCATTAAAAGAAATAGAAGGGGATCGTCCACCGTGGCGCATCCCGTTTCCCCCTTCTCAGGGAAGACTTGAACGGGAGGGTGAGCTAAGGCCTTCCCGGGATGGTAGAAATCAAAGGGCCATCAAAAGACATTATCACCCGGAAGAGGGGGCCCTGGAAGAAGGGTGCATTTGAACCTTGGAGAGGGTTCGAAATCATTCGACATGGTTAAATCTCCAGTATTCTTACCGGTTAAGGATACTTCAAGAATTACTAGGTTACAGGTGTTTCCATCTACAACCTACCGGTCAAGTAAAAAAAAAAAGAATACCCCGGTTGGGTATGGGCACAGCAAAACTTCGAAAGTTCTACACCCATCGGAAGGCAAGGCAGTTGACCGGTCAAACCATGGAGTGGGAATTAACCGGTAAAATTAAACTTTATCAAAGAATTGATGAAGCTATCCAAAAGGCAAAAGTAAAGTTTGGCCGGTCAAATTTTTTAAGTTGGCCACCATGATGAAGACGTTCGAAAAGCAAAAATTTAAGTTTAACCGGTCAAAGTTACTCGAGCTAATCCTTCAGATAAAGTGATCAAAGAGAACTTTGAAGTTCTCCCGGTCAGAAACAATTGAGAAGTGGTCTGATTGGGCTACCGGTCAGAATTTATAAGAAGCAAGAGCAAAGTATAAATCAACAAGCAGGCAGATATGGAAGATTCACTGGTAAGGAAATTAAACATGGCATTTAAATTTGGAAATGTCAAATGTTTACAAGTACGCCGGGCATACCCGGGGAAATTGATAAGGTTTCAAGTTTTACAAAAAACAACCGGGCGCAGCCAAGGAGATCCTAATCTAGGGGGAAAGGGGGAGTTGGCTCTTCCTTCGGGATGGGAGCCAGGCCATAGGAAGCTGCGGTGAAGGCCGGGTCTCTCTTCAGGAGGATCCGGTGGGAGGCTGCCCGGTCTTTCTTTTGGCCGCTTTTGAATCCGAAGGACCCAATCGCGGTTATCATCTTCTTTCCTTCAGGCTCCCGGTACAAAAGCTTGAAGGATTCCATGGTCGCTTCTGGGCTCGCCGTCATCACCCGGGCGGCTTCGGCCTTATTCTCTTCCACCCAGGCAGATGCGCGCCCGGGGAAGGTTTCTTCCTTCTCCACTACTTCCCTCTTGGCTTCAGAGACTTCGTCCAGGAGTCGGCCATTCTCCTCCTTCAGTTGGAAGATCTCGGTCTTCATTGCCCCGGCCAGCCCAGACAGCCGGATCAGCTCATCAGCCTGGCTCCTCAGGATGAGTGTCATCTGTTCTTTCTCCTTCTTCAGCCGGTCGATTTCAGAAGGGGAACTCATCCCCAACCGGTCCACTGTGTGCGGCCCAATCTCCCCCGCCTGCACAAAAACGAAACAGACCGGTAAGTTCCTCGATAGAGGAAGAAAATAAAGACCGGGATAGCGGCAGGACTTACCTCCTTTAGCCTCAGCCCCAGGTTGATGAAGGCCTCTTCGATGGTCTGACCGGCCGGCTCAGAATCCGGCCATGCCCTCTTCTTAGCATAAGAAGGGTGCGTGGTGGCGACCTTCTTCGTTCGCCGACCGGTCTTCTCCTTCTCCTTCCCCTTAGACCGGTTGTCTTGGGGCTCGTCTTCATCAAGGATTTCCACGGTCTCTGGATTGACCGGGAAGGTCCTGGCAGTGTTGGCTTGGGAGCCCCCAGTCTCCCCTGCTGGTTGGTCGTCGGGGATGGCGAACTCTTCGAACTCCATATCTGCAAAAATAGCTAAAACTGTTAAGTACAAGCAATGGTACCGGTCAAAGCGCAAATCACAAGAAAAGTAAAAAGTATCTGGGTGGTTCTGGCCCTCAGCCTCTGCAGTGTTGCCCGGGGATGGTACCCCGCGCCCCGCTGCTTCATGGGCCTGGGAGGTACCCTCACCACCCGACTCCACCCTCCAAACCCAGCTGCCATAATGGAAGATCCTCCCAGTGAAAGGATCCCCGCGCATGAAGACCTCAAGTTTCGCTTCCAAGTCTGGGGAAGAAGCCGGTGCAGTGTACTCTTGGTCGAGCAGATGGTCGTTCCAGTTCAGACCGGCCAAAGGAGTGACAAAGGGGGGAAATTCGATGAAAACAAATTTTTCCTTCCATCCCCGGTTACTCTGGAGGACTTCGGAAATGAACTTCCTACCGGTGCGGGCTTTGAAAAATACAAAACCTTCGCAGCCAGTCCCGCCCGGTAGGACTTCGAAGCAAAAGAGAAAAAGACGCAAAGAGGGGAAGATTTTCAAATGAGTACAGATATTTACCAAGGAATGGAGATACCGGTGGGCGTTAGGTGTTATTTGTCCGGGCAAAATCCTAAACGCGTGGCATACTTCGGTTAGGAGGGGTGAAGGGGAAAAACTATGCCCGCATCCAGGGATATGGTGTGGAACCCTATCCTGTCCTCCCGGTGGGGTTCGACAATGTTGGGCTAGTTGGGCTCATACAGGAGGGTATTCCGGGAGCCTCCTACGAATTTTGTTCAAGGCGATTTTGGATACACGGGAAGGGATGTCAAGGACGTAGAAGGTGGGGAGCGGAAAGTAACCGGCAGCATGAAGCCGCTCCTCCCACGCATCCCGGGTTTCGTGTTCAGGGTCATAGGGACCCGGTTCGTCATCAACCGGGTCATCCCTCCCCACGAAAGTTTCACTGGGCATCTGGTTAACAGGATGCGGGCCGGGAATAGAGGAGTTGGGAACCTGACCGGGCGTGGAGTCAAGAGAAGAAGACCCGGTCGAAGAAGAGGAGTTAGAGTCCTCAGAGGAGCAGTCCTCAGAGGAAGTGATCCTATCGCTAAGAGAAGACATGACCGGGAAAGTAGAGAAGGAAGGGGAAACTTACTTGGCTCGGAGGGCTGGATAGCGAGAGAGAGGAATTTGACCGGTGAAAGCTCTAGAAGGCGAAGTGCGAAAAGTGAGAAGTGAAGGGGGTCGGAGGCCTTTATATAGGAGGGAGGAAGCCGAATCAGACGACGTGGCCTCTCCAGGTTGCGCCGCGTCAGGAGGCGCAATGATGACCCACTGGCAGGCGAAACGACGGGTGGGCCGCCGACCGTTGCAGCGACGTGTGTCCAACACGTGTCAAAGCTCCGAGTTCAAATTCAAATTTTGAGATTTTCGGGCGGGAAAAAGCCTGAAATTCAAATTTGAGGTCCCTTTTTAGACTTTTTACTTCCCGCTCATGGCGAATTGCATGACCGAGAAGTGGAGGGCTTATTGATGGGTGTATTCCACCCACGACCGGTCAAAGGAGGAGACCGATTAGTTGACCGTTCAATCTCGAAAGTTTTGGAAGGGAGACTTAAATCGTCGGCAAAACGATGTATCATCGGCCAAAAGATGACCGGTATACTTCACAAAAAAGTATACCGGTCAAACTACGTTGTCATCCTATTTATTCCAGACTTCGATGAATTCATCCCTCGGAGATTACCCGGTGTAGTTTCTGGGGTTGGAAAGTGTCGGCAGAAGAGGATCTGCGAGGGCTTGGCGTGTAGCGACCCGTGTCA